AGTCCCGTTTTCTTCCATCTCAGATTTGGCGTCCACGTCTGAGTCCGGGTCTGAGTCTTGTTCGGATGATATGTCCTAAAAGGGAACTTCCATCTGTGGCAGTTTCTCTTGAGCTTAGGGGCTCATAAGACACTCCTTGGGGCGTCCCCGGGGCCGAAGGAAGTTTCCTTCGGGGTTTTGAAGGAAATTCCCACCATCATTCCACCTATCATCAGGGTGGTCTCACAAGGATGATTCCTTTTGGCCCCCGAGGGGGGGCAATGCCTTGCTCCATTGGGTGATATCCGTCTCGGTACGGTGTGGTCCAACTGCCGAAGGCGGAAAATTTTGAAAGGTGCTGGCGACGGGGTAAAAAAAAAAGACCCTCCCCATTTGAAAATCAAATTTTGAATCGGGTGTTGGACGTCACTATGGCAACACGGGGCAGGTGGCGTTCATATTGGTGACGGTGGAAACGGGCATTTGCAGCGGCGCTGTGGAGTCGTCATAAGTCTAGAGGAATTTGTGAGCGCCCCATGAAGTTCCATCGCCATCGCCTCCTCCTGGCGCCGCACGTATGTGTGGGGTCCAGCACACGCGGGGAATGTCGGGGACGACTTGGCGCTGAGGTTACCGTGATTGTGGCGAGTTCGTAGGCTGTTGTATTTCCGTGGTTCATGAGCATTGCAACACACGTGCTGATGGAAGGCGGCAGCGACGATGAACGTGCGAAGTTGATGACGATCGAGAAGACAGTCGTGGCAGCGGCCGTGACGACTATGCTCTTTCGTTGTCAGCAGGAGAGGGCATTGGGCAGAGTGGGAGCACAAATCCGCGCGTGGAGGAGGAAGACGCTTCATCAAGTCCCACTCGAAGGGTTGGATACCATGGCCATCACCGAGGCTGTACTCTGGTTTGTTGCGCTATGGGTTGCAGTGTTCTTCCACGAGCGACGCCGAGGTGGTGTATGAAAAGGAGGACGGGGGGGGGGGGGGGCGTGGGATGATCTTAGGCAATGCGATGATGCGACGAAGGAGTACTTATGGGAGAAGTTGCATATGTCGCCACGTGTCTTTCGGACGATAGTGATTACATCCAGTCTGGACGATCGCCCGTGAGATGCACTACCGATGTCGATGTCGACTGCAGTCGGTGTCAATCCCTCGTCTTCTCTGTTGGAGGCCTTCGATAGAGGTTGCCCATCAACGATAGAGAATGCACACGTGGAACAAGAGGACCATGACAAGCAAAATTGCGACTAGGAGCGGCAGTGGCGGTGAAGGTCCACCGAACGGCGACGATGAAGGGAGAAGCCGGTAAAGGACAACATACGACACACACACTCTAACGGGTCATACTCTCTTGCACTGCGAGCCGGGACATCACCTGCGTGGTCGCTCGTGGAGTGGTCCACTGAAGACCTGCTCTTCGCCTGACGTTCGTCCATGATGATGCCCTTCTTCGCAGAACGCCTCTTGTGTGTGTCCATACAGCCTGCTAAGGATGCAGACGTGGAAGACGATTAGAAGGACAAACAAAATGATTATCAGGAGCAGCAGCAGCAGCAGCCTTCGAAAGACGTCGACCATGAAGGACACGTAGGGAAGGGAAGTAACTACACGACGCCGGTACATCTCCACCAAACGGTGATGAAGAAGGGAGCAAACGGCAAACCGCAGCATCCGACAAATGCCCTCTAACGTTTTACGTCCCCGAGTACAATGCGAAATCGAAAGGCGGGTCGGCTAAAAGATTCAATTTTGCCAACCGTTGAAGCCCTTTCCGTTTGGCGGTTCGCACTGCGAGGGAGAACACCGGTTGAAGACGTTCGGGGAGGCCGCCCGGCCACCAACGGTTACCGTTGGAGTAAGGATCCTGGAAGTTGAACGTTGACAACCCAAGATGTCCATGTGGTGGCCGGTAGGTACTCCAATGGACCAGCCGACGAAAATTATTGTCGATGTTTGGTTCTCTTGCCGCTCCGATTATCGCACATCCTTGACCTCCGAGGGACCTAGGGAAGTACATTGGGGAAGGCCACAAAATGGTTGTAGCCCGAGGACGCCCCGAGGATTCCCGAAGAAAATATTTTCACATTTTCTTTTCCTTTTTATCCCAGAGGATAGGTGGAACAATAATTTGCTCGGGGACTTTACGCGCCCGAGGAGTGTCTAACGAGCCCCTTAGACTATACGCACACCAGGTCCGCAGAATCGCAAAACAGTGAAATCAATGACCAGATTGATGCCTCCTTCTACAAGGACTCCATCTGGCCGCTGATTTTGTGATTTTGCAATTTTGAGGGCCTACGGTGTTTACCCCCTGAGTAGAACACCCAGTCAGTATCATTGTATCTAGACTTGAAGGTCTGCCAAATACAGCTATAATGATCGCGAGTTCTATTCGGGTGAAGACGGTAGTATGAATACGCCCTTACTCCAGTATTTGAACAATTCATGGGTGTACCAACTTAGTGTATACTCCCACTAGGCCCTCAAAATCACAAAATGGCAAAATCAGCGGCCAGATCAAGTCCTTGTAAAAGGAGTCGTTTATCTGGCCGCTGATTTTGTGATTTTATGGTTTTGAGGGCCTAGTGTGAGTACGCCCTTTTTTTATATATTTAGGAGCTCATTAGACACTCCTTACGAGTTCCTTGAGCCACAAGGAAATTTCCTTGTGGCTCTTAAGGGAAATTTGCGGCGTCGTTCCACTCATCCTTGGGGACCTCCCCCGGGGATGTTTCCTTGTGGCTTGCCCGCGGCTGTTTTCATACGGAAATTAGCGGCTGCGGGGTTGGTCGTCCTTGGTCCAGCTTCTTTCGTCCGTGTGGTGGCGGGGTGGTCCAGCGACGTGTGGCCGGAAACGACATACGGCGGGCGACGCGAAAATTTTTTTAACCCGAAGGGCGTCGATGTTTGAAATTCGAATTTCGAATGACTGTTGCGACGACAACGATGACGTGTGGGCGGCGGCACGAAGACGGCGTATTGCGGAAACGGGTTAAGCGGCGGCGGTACTTCCGTCCCCCGGCCGCTGCGACTGCGCGGACAGCGTCTAGTGCATCCATTGCCCTGGACCTTCGCACACGTCGACCGCGCCTTGCAACAGGTTTCCGTGTGAGGGACTGCATCCAGAGAAAAGGGGCCAGCTTTCGACGGACGTCTTCGGCTTCTTCGTCGGGTGTGGAAGGACGACACAGACGGCAGCGGAGCGACGGGTCCGTGTCCAGGTCGCGGCTATGGAGGGCGGCGGAGAGGGTAGACGTGAGGTGTTGACGCCTCATGAGCTGCAGGACGTGGCGGCGGCCGTGTCCACCATCGTTCTTTGATGTCAGCAGGAGAGGGCGCTGGGACGACTGAAGGAGCAGCTGCGCGCGCGTAGACGGAGGACATTGACACAAGCTCCTGACGATGGGCCCGACTACGTGGCGACGTCGGAGGCTGTTGTTCAGTTGTGCTACGCGTTGGGTTGTGGAGCGATTCCTCGAGCGACACTGAGGTGGTGGATGAAGCGCAAGACAGGAGGCACGTGGGAAGACCTCAGGCAATGCGACGACGCGACAGACGACTACTTCTAGGATAAGCTACGCATGTCGCCTCGAGTGTTCCGGGAAATCGTGGAGGCGTGTGCGCCTCATCTTCAGCGGCGGGTGACGTTCTACAGAGAGTCTTTGCAGCCAGACCAGATTGTGGCGTACGCACTGTACAGGTGGGCCACAGGGGAGATGTACGAGAGCAACACGTGCAACTTCGGTATTGGACGAGCTTCTGGCCTGGTTGCCGTCCGCGATGTTACTGTCGCGCTGCTCCGGGTGTTCGGAGAGAAGATTGCCTAGCCGGCTGAAGTTCGTAAACTCGTCGTTCTGTGGGCGTTCGTTGATAAAGGGTTCCCCAATTGCCACGGTTGCATTGACTGTACTCACATCTACGTGGGCAAGCCCGCGAACGCTCCATGCGAAAACTACTACGATAGGAAGCGTCGTTTCTCCATCGTCGTGCAGGTTGTCGTCGACGTGGACTTGCGTGAGCTCGATGTGCACATGGGATACCCGGGTAGCTGCCACAACATAAGGGTGCTCCAGTTGTCCAGCCTGTCGCAGCGCGCGGAGGAGGGGTCGTTGTTTCGTGGTCCCCCTATGACCTACCGTTCGGCGTGAAGACGAACGGGTACGTCCTGGCAGACTATGGCTACCCCCCTTCGAAATGGATGGTCGTCCCGTATGGAGGCGTCAATCAGCACGTCGACCAGGAGTGCTTTGATAACAAACAGAAGGTGGCGAGGGGAGTGGTGGAGAGGGCGTTCAGCAGGTTGAAGGGCATGTGGCGGCTATTTCCGTGGACGCACAAGACGAACCTGGACACGATCCCGCAGCAGTTCACCACCGTCTGTATACTGCACAACATACTGATCAACGCTGAAATTTCGTTCGACGAGAATCTGCTAGGGGAGGTTGACGCTAATGGTGTGCGACGTCGTGTGGACCTGGGGATCGAAGAGCCCCTTCAGCCTTTGTCGATGATTGAGTCAACGAGGGAAGCGTTGGCCCTGCGGAATGCTTTGGCGGAACGAATGAAACACGATTGAGTCGTGTTCACATGGTGGACGATAGCGCGTGGAAGTGTAGTCATTGCAACACTGGTCGGAGGGCAGATTCGTTGTTTCGTCCAACCTTGATTGGGTTGTTAGTGCGCGTCCCGCCCTGGGGTTGGTAGTTTGCGTTGGAGGTTATAGTTCGTCGGCGTCGTGATTCGTGGATGTGCATGGCCGTTGTTCACAAAGTTTTTTTATTGGCGTTTACGTTATGTAGTGGGGATATGGTGCACTGCGGGTGTCAAGTGCGCCGTTTTTTTTTTTAACAGCTGGTGTCGTTTAAAAGAGAGAGCAGGGTTGGTCATGCGGGTAGGCCTGAAACTTGTCCCCCTTACGTTGCATTTTGATGTCTTTTTAATGAAATGATCCACGATTTCGTAATTTTCTTCCAATGTTAATATAGTCGACTGTTAGTATGTGTTGTTATTCTTAGTGTTGCTATTTCATTGCGATGATCAATATGGACGAAGATGCACTGTGCCATTACATGTTCACAAGATGTGTTCTTGGACATCATCTGCTCTATGGGGTTGTGCGCATTGTCTTCCTTCGACTGTTGAAATCATAATCAAACACGGTTTTGGGGTGGCATTGGAAAAACTGCAAAACAAACAAACAAACAAACAAACAAACAAACAAACGAGCGACAACGAAATAAGAAAAAGAAGATGAAATGTGTGCATGCAGATTGAACAAACGAACGACTATTCATGATTAATCCGAACGACTAATCAAACAGACGAATGACCATTCAGTCATGCCAGCGAACTGACGAAAACAACGAACACAAGATTAAAAAATTTAAGGTGCGCTCCAAGCGCAATCAAGTTCTTTCGCAGCAAGCTGCGTTGACAACAACACACAACACCGATCACCGAAATTGAAAACCCTCCTACAACGTGCTGAAGCGAACGCCGTCTAACGTCACTCGTCAACTCGCAGCACCGACACACTAACCACATCCACACACAACGACGATCGAAGTCACAAAGCACCCCTGCCAGAGTGAACGACCAAAAACATCGGTCGTCTACACGCAGGAGCAACACGCTGTACACGTACGCAACGAATGGAAAGGCCATCACGACCACCAACGTCCAAACAAGCCGCCACGAATTGTGGAGCTCCCACGCCGCCTCCTGTCGCCCGTTCCACTTCCCTCTCCCGCGCCGCCACCTGCCGCCCCTTCCGCTTCCCTCTCCCGCGCCGCACGTGTCACCTGCCCCCCCCCCCCCCCCCCCCCCCCTACGCGTCGTCTTTTCCATCGTCGTCGTTGTCCTCCTGCAAGGGGCCCGAACCCAACCAATCCAGCCTCTTCGCGTCCTCCGACCTTGTTATGCTAGCGTCATGCCCGAAGACGATGTCGCAGGATGCCTAGTCCGAGATGTATTTCGGGTGCTCTCCCAAGGTGGGGTTCGCCTTCCCTAGCCTCTCCGTGATGACGTTTGTGGCTCGGATGACGGATCGTTGGTGCTCGAAGCAGCGATGCATGGACGTGACGAGCGTGGGCTTCGCGACCAGCTTTGGGAAGTAGAAAGCTTCGTAGTGGCTGCGCAGATCGTCTCCCGCCATGCGCATCAACCACATGCTGGCCGCCAACAAAAATCTGAAGCAATCAGCAACCCTTGAGAGACGGTCGTGTGAGATGAGGCCGTCGTCGACGTTCGCACCCATTTGCACCGCGGCGCGGAATGCATGCGCGATGCATATGACGGTGGACTCCTGGTACGCTGCCATGTCGTGCCACACATACACACACATACACACACACACATACACATACACACACACACACACACACACACACACACACATCGTCGCAGTCGCAACACATGGAGAGACAGGCCACTAAAGCGACAGTGATAGTTTACTGTCATCATCAATCATGATCTCTCGCAGATGGCTTTCACTATTTCCATAAGGGCGTTGCACATCATTCTGTTCGCCTCATCCGCCGCAGCATAGTGTTTCCTCTGCACTTCCACTTCGCTCTCTAGGATTTCGCACTGTCGTAACATCATAGAGCATTGCCGCTTGCTCGCGCTGTCCATCGTGCTTGCCATGAGCGCACCATGCTTGTCCATGACCTCGGCGACAGCCTCAAAGGTTTGTTGCCGCATGTTTTTCCTCTTCCCAGAACCGTCGGCGCTCCCCGAGTTGAATGTCGAATCTTTCGTCAACCCCTGCTCCTCGTCGGGTGCCTCCTCTCCACCCTCACTGGCCATGGATTCCCCTCCAGCCCCCGCGCCTGCCGGCATCTGAACCCCCCCCCGCCACCCTCGTGTCCGCCAAATTCTTTGGGCGGATCGTGTGATCCCCCTTCGTCATGGCCTCCATGTCGCCGTACACGCTCCGGTCCATAATGAAGTTGAAGCCCTCCGATCACTTGGCCGATGAAGCAAGCTTGAAGTAGTCCTTCCCGCCGGAGAGGTTCTGAAACTTGTGAACCTTCTTGAATTGTTGCATCAAGTTGTCCCATTTCTTCCCGTAGTCGATGGCCTTCTCGTGACGCCCATCGTCGGCAAACTCGCCCGCACGTCCTCCCACTTCCATTCCCTGGTCTTCATGCAGGCCAAACTGTGCCCCAACCCGGCGATATACAAATCTTGATCCCTTTTCGCCCTCACGAGTGCGATCGTGTCTCCGACCGACCAGAAATTTCGCCCGCCCTCACCATCGCTCCCGCCGGTGTCGTCATCCATTTTCTTATTCCGTCGATTTGTCGGAGTGGGACCCTTCTTCGCACTAACACCGCTATTCCTCACCTTGCTCCTGAACAGCCGCGTCGTCGCCTTCGTCCACGAGGAGCCGTTGCACCCCTCTTGTTATTGTCTCCGTTCCAACTTGACCAACGCTTGTCTGCACTCCGCCCACAACTGCCTGCCGTCGCGTTCAACGTCCGCACCTCCCTCAGGCAAATCCTCCTGTCGCTGCCGTCCTCGAGGAGTCCCGAATCCGCTTCGTGATGCCGGCTATAAGCGCATCCATTCCGGACGTTGATCCGCGCCAACTCCTCCTCTGCCGTGCCTTGACGATACATTTCGATTCTTGCCACCATCGCGAAGCGTTTGAGGTAGACTGTCGTCTCGCGGCCCTCACAGACCAATGTACGTCTGCTCCGCGCAATCCCCATCTGGGTGGGGATTGATGATGCGAGCGTGCGTTGCCACTGCTCCGCTGCTGCTGGAGAACTGGAAGCTCAGATCAACCACTTCATTGTCGTCGTCGTCGCACAGCCCCTCGTTCAACAGTGACGTGTGAGACCACGGGCTCTCCGCCCGCCTGCCACCGTACGACTGCATCGCCGCCCAATCCTGCGTGGAACCACTTCCCAACGGCAAAGTCGACGACCTGACGTCTTCCCCCTCATCATCCGACGGCGACAGAGGAATCTCGTGAGAAGGCAGGTGAGCATACAACGTCGGGTCGTACGCCTGCTTCGCCACAGATCCCGCACTGCGTTGCCGATTGGTCGCTCCTGCTGTCGTGCCTGCCAGTCTGCCGCAGGTCAGTCGACGATCCATCTTGTCGCCGTTCTTGGAAGATCTCCTTTTGCGAGCCGCGAGAAGGAGCAGGCCCACGAAACACAAGTGGAAGAAGACAACAATGAGAAGCAGCACGATGACGAGGAGTAGCAAAGGCAGACTGTGCAGCAGGTCGGCCATGTTAAGGGTCGTGGAAAGGGCAACAAACCCACGTCAGCGGTCGACCGTCCACCGAAGAACTCCGTCGACATAAGAGATATCGAGGGAAGATTTATGCTCCAACGTGCATGGCGTGACGACAAACGACGAAAACGACGATCTTCCAAAATGAAACTACGGTCGTCAAACGTTGCGTCGGCGAGGAAAAGCATTCGAATTTCCGACCGCTGTCGACGCTCGCCCGGCGCAGCAGACCGCATGACACCGGTCGGCGACGCCCGATTTGACGGCCGGAGGCCTCACACGGACGGTGACCGTTTGGAGCCGTTGGGGTGCCGCGCAAACGGTGGAGGGCAGGGATGTCCGTTCTCCCGTTCGGTGGACCACGTCTGGACCACCCGCAAACCGAAACTGTGCGTCGACGCATGCCTTCGCCGCTCCGAATTTCGCGCTTCCTTGTGCTCCGAGGGACCTCTCCCTTGGACCTCAGGAAACATTGGTTGTAGCCACAAGGAAATTTCCTTGTGCTGTTTTCACTTTTTTTTTCGAGAATCGTCCCTGAGGACAGGTGGAACGAGCAATTCCTTGTGGATTTCGGGTCCACAAGGAGTGTCTAACGAGGCCCTTAAACAAACTCGTCTTTATTATTTATACAAACCGGGAAGCGGGCCCGGCGTCCCTTACAAGAACAGCGGCCTGGGTTCCGGATGTCCTCCTCTCTTCTCTGAGAGAGAAGTTCAAAAACTCGACCTTGTTTTTTTTTTTTTCCCTTTTCCTTGGAGAAAAGTCAGGGATATCATCCGGGGGCTAAGTCCCACTAGCGGTCCGAAAAGTTTTGGTTGGCCCTATGCCGCATGGTGCGACGTTCCATCCGGCCGTGGAGTGCAGATGATCGGAGGGCCCGGGAAAAGTAGTTCGAATGCCGCACAAAATAGAGATTTAAACGGCGTCTTTTATTGGTTGACGGATTTCTCAAATATTTGCCAACAGTGTTGGGTGGTTTTGGTTCCTTGCATGGTGTGGGGTATGTGAGAAACCAAAACCCTCTCTCTCTCTCTCTCTCTGTGCACACTACACATGCGTTGTGCATGAACGTGCACTCCACGGCCTTTGGCGCTTCTCACCACATACACGAAAGGCAAAAACTACGGGGATGTATTTTCCCATGTACAGGAGAAAATGCATTCTCATTTTCCACATTTGGTGAGGTGGAGCAACCACGTACGACGGGCACTCCCGAAACTCCTGGCAGATTGTCATCATTGCAGGACCCTTCTACACTGTTTCAGACTTCCTCAAAAAAGCTTTGAATTCCAAAGAAAAGACAAAAAGAAAAAAAGAAGTTTTTGAAATGGTGTCACATGCTGCCGCCCCCTGCCGCACCCTGCCGCATCAGTATTGGAATCAAAACCAAATTCGTGCTAGTGGGACTTGGCCCCGGATATGAAGAAACCATTTTTTGCGGGGTGTTTGTATACAAGGCATGTGTACTTTTCGGGGAGAGACATCACAAGCCACCCTCCGAGATGGGTGGGGTTTAGGGAATATCATGGTCAACTGGGAATATGCCCTCACTCTTTCACCCCCCACCTAAAAGGGGGTAGCCCTTTTCGAATAACTTTGTTCAAACAGAATCCAACTCTCTGGTTATTATCCTGTTTCATCCAATCACAAGCCTCTGAAAGAAACGGCATCTTTAAATTAATTAAAAAACAAAAACGCATCTCCTTCTCCACATGGTTGATGACGTAGGTCGGGGGGGCCCACGTGAGCCAGAAAAAAGAGGGCCTGGCTCCACCACTCTGCAAGGGCGCAAAATGAGAATGAATCTTCCTCCGGAAGATGGAAGTATACAGCGCCATATTTTTCGTCTTTTGCGAATGTTGGGGAGAGTAGTGGAGCGACGCCCGAAGTACCAATGGGCATAGCTCAGTTGGTACACCCACGAACTGTTGAAATACCCAGAATAAAATCATTCTGAATTGTCTGGGGCCGGTCAGTTCAAAAATGATGTCTCAAGGCCGTTGCCCTTTTTTTTTTTTTTTAAAAAGGTGAGCTACTAGACAATTGGGAGGAGTGTTAAAACAAAAAACACATTTGTGAACCTTCTTCCGGCGGCTCAGCCAATGGGCGTCGCTCTACTACTCTCTACATGTGCAAAAAG